TCTTGCCTGGCTGCCTGAGTCCCCAAGTCTATGTTCTTTCCCCAGACAGTACCCTGCCTCCTTGGTGACAGCAGATGATGAGCTGGGAAGGAGAGCACATGTCTTACCCCGTCCACCTCTTGGCCTGCCCTAACCTGCCTCCTGCGGTCCATCCTGCCCATGCCTCTGAGGGCTGTCCCGTGATGCCTGGGTCAGCCCTTGGAGGTGAGGGTGATCTGTGTGTGGGGCAGGGACTGTGCCCGACGTGTGGCTTTGAGCCCTCCAAGCCACAGAAGACACCAGGGAGGGACCCCGCTCCAGCTCTCTGCCAAAGGTGTCTGGTTTCTCCCTCCCTGAAATGTGATCCGTGGAGCCCTGATCTTCTGGGCCGGTGGGCAGCGGGTGAGGGCAGCGGGCAGGGGCCACGTCTCCCCGGCCATATCTCAGGCCCATTAGGAGCGGGCCTGAGTGCTTTCCAAAGCTGATTAATGGCCTGCCTGTGACCTGGAATGTCATTACTGCCCAGGCTGGGGGCCCCCGCTGGGTCCTTTGGGTCTTTACTGCTAATAATAATTGATGCTTTTCGTGTGGTTGCAGGGAAAGTTCTATCTGGTCATCGAGGAGTTGAGCCAGCTGTTCCGATCGCTGGTCCCCATCCAGCTGTGGTACAAATACATCATGGGTGACGACTCCTCCAACAGCCACTTTCTGGGAGGGGTCCTGATGATCCTCTACAGCCTCTGCAAGGTGAGGTGGCAGGGGTTGGCGGGCTGGAGGGAGGGCCTACGGAGGTCCCGTTCACTCGCTGCCCCCTGATAGCCAAGGGGAGCTTGGAATGATACCCTAATCTCTCTCTCTTAAATTGAGGGAAAATTCACACAACACAAAATTCAGTGACATGTAGCAGATTCGCAATGTTGTGCAACCACCACCTCTGTCTGGTTCCAAGACATTTTCATCCCCAAAAGGAACCCTGTACCCAGGAAGCAGTCGCTCCCCATTCCTCACCCCCACTCCCAGCCCCTGGAATCACTAGTCTTTCTACTTGTGTGGATGTGCCTGTTCCGGGCACTTCATATAACGGGAGTCACCCAGTGTGCGACCTTGTGTGTCTGGCTTCTCTCACTGAGCAGCATGTTTCCAAGATTCCCCCACACTGCGGCCTGTCAGGACTTCATTTCTTTTCATGGTTAAATCCACCCTAATTTATTGTCTTCTCTTTTGTAATCCTCACCCAAGGATATTTTTTCCATTGATATTTTAGACAGAGTGGAAGGGAGGAAAGAGGGAGGGTGGGAAGGGAGGGAGGGAGAGAGGGAGGGAAGGAGGGAGGGGGAGGGAGAGAGAGAGAGAGAGAGAGAGAGAGAGAGAGAAAGAGAGAGAGATCCTCCTCCTCCTGACTTTTTTATCGATTGGTTGCCTCCTGTTCTCGCTCCACCTGGGGCTGAGGATTGAGCCTGAAACCGAGGCATGTGCCCCTGCCTGGGAATTGAACCTGCGACACTTTAGTCAGTGGGCCAGCGCTCCAGCCACTGAGCCAAACCGGCCAGGGCCACCCTCATTTCTTGTCCATAAAGCTCACCACAGGCTAGCCTTTCACAGAATCTTCACAGCTCTTCAGAGTAGTACCACCATTGCTCTCATTCACCGGCGAGGAAGCTGAGGCTCAGAGGGAAGTAACTTGCCAGCGTCGCTCAGCCAGAGATAACAGCACGAGCGTCCACCCAGGCAGCCTGCTTGCAAACCATGCCGCTCTTAACCCCAGACCTCACTGCCCTGAATGCTCTTTCTGTTCCTGCTAAACGGCACACCGTCAGCTCTGCAGATCAGTTTGCGGTCCTTCCCTTCTCATCATTAGTACAAATCAGTTTCCCCCTCACAATAAGTACACCCTCCTCTTTCTTTGACCTTGGAGAATCCTGGGGAAGTGCTTGTGTTCTCGGTCTTTCTTCCCAGCAGGGCTAGCCAGGCAGTGCAGGCTGTGTCAGCCCATGGGGCTTATCTAGCCGACTGATCCTGATGGACTGGAAGTGGCTGACTGGAGTGCTAGATGGGGGATTATCGGCTCTGGCTGGGCCAGATGAAGAGTGTTGTGATCGATTAGCAATGCCTGCCCTGGGCTTGGGAGAGGAAAAGGCAGTGTACATGCCTTGTGTTTGCTCTCCTGGCCCAGGGACAGGGGAGGCTGTTGATGGAAGGCAGGAAGTCCAAAGCCAAGCAGAACTGGTGGGAAGGGGCAGTTTCAAATGGGAGGAAGTGCCATGAAAATGCTCAGAGGCAAAGACGAGGGGGGCAGCGAGGGCGGCTCGAAGGTGGTAAGCGAGATCCTGTACAATCCTGGATGCTTTCCAGCCATCACCCTGCTCTCCTTTCAGTCCTTCGACATCTGTGGCCGCGTGGGTGGAGTCAGGAAAGCCCTGAAGCTTCTGTGTACCTCGCAGGTGAGTCGGCTTCATGTGGTCCTGGCCAAAGTCACAGGAACTAGGAGCCAGGAGCCGGAAACAGGTCTCAGTGTGCTTCTCGGGGTCCACAGCTGTGTGTGTCTCTCTCTCCCCTCCCACAAACAGAATTACGGAGTCCGGGCCACTGGGCAGCAGTGCACAGAGGCTGGTGATATCTGTGCCATCTGCCAGGCCGAGTTCCGGGAGCCTCTGATCCTTATGTGCCAGGTGAGCAGGGCCGGGCAGGGGCATGAGAGGCTGAGGCTGGGGGACCGGCAGGCCCTGCCCCAGGCAGAAGTCTCAAGTGCCTTTCCCTTGACCAAACCTTGAGGCTCTGGGATGGGTCTTTGAGAACAGTGTGGTCCAGACTGGAGTCAGATCTGGGTTCCGATCTCAGCTCTGTCTCTCATTAGCTGGGGCACCTGGACCAGGTTACTTCACCTCTCTGAACCTCAGTTTCAATGTCAAAAAAGAAAAATTCACTAAGGCTTAGTGTCAGAATATCGTGATTGTGAAACCCAGCAGCACTCTGGACCCTAGGTGGGTCATTCCATCTCCCCGAGCCTTGCTTTTTCTCATTTACTAAATGGGTATCACAATAACATCTACTTTGTAGAGCTAATATTACGATTAAATGAGATCATCTCTGGAAAAAAACTAAATTTGAATTATTTAGTCATAGAAGTCGTTCATATATAATTATCATTATAATTAGATTTACCATTTGTTTTTATTATGATTACTTGTGGGTCACCAACCTATAGCAGTAAGTACTGGTTAGTCCCTTTAATTTTCTACGTGTATCCCCTCTCCTCCTTCTCCTCCTCCTCCTCCTCCATCCTCCTCCTCCTGACATCAGGGGCAAAGATGTCAATTCAGCAAATGTGTATGAGTCAAGCATCCTATCAGACACCAGGGAGGGGAGGCAGAGGGCACACAGACCCTGTCCCCTGCTCTGGAAGCTTGCAGTCCCTTGGGGAGACAGACACATACATAAATAACTATGAAACAAGGCAGGCGGTGATAAGTGCTGTGTAAGAGAGATTCATGCAGCGTCCCCGGGGACCAGGACAGATAGCGATGAGCTCGAGGTTGGAAAGGCCTCAGGGAGGAGGCATCGTCTGCAGACGAGAAGGAATCGAGAGCATATGGCTCCTCCCAACCACCACCTTCCGGGGGTGAGAAGACAGGAGGGGGGGGTCTTTTTTTGGCATCAGCAAAAAATTTTTGTTTTTGCTTTTGATTTGGGGGGATTATAGCTGGTTTGTTTTTTTGTTTTTTATTCATTGTATTTATTTTAAAATTGAGAATATATTTGCATGATCCAAAATCTGACTGCAGAATTCATGAGTGAGGAGTCATGACAACTGAATGCCATGTGGGACCCGGGCTGGATCCTGGCACAGAGAAAGGGCATGGGTGGGAAAGGCAGTCTGATGAACTCCTGATCGGGCCTGGCGTGTAGTCCATGTAGTCCATGGTCATGTGTCTGTGTGGGTTTCTTCGCTTCGACAAGTGCACTGTGGAGACGCAAGGTAACATTAGGGGAAATGGAAACTGGGTGAGGGGTATGTGAGGACTTCCTCTACTCGCTGCAACTTGTCTGTTAGTGTAAAATTATTCCAAAAGAAAAAGCTGCATTAAACAACGTTTTAAAGATGGAAGAAGGAAAGTGGTTGCAGGCTCCTGCCCTTGTCCCCAGCTCCCCAGTCCCCTAAACACCCCCACAGGCAATTACTGTTACCAGTTTCCTTTCTGTCTTTTCAGAGGTGCTTTGTAAGTGCATATAGATACACTGAACACGTCTTTTTCAAAATGACTTAAGTTGCAGCATATTCTACCCAAGCTGCATCCTGCATCTTCCCTTTTTGACTTGATACTCTGTCGTAAGAAATTGCCCCTTATTTGCCTATCATCCTGCTTTTCAGATAGACCCCAATTTGTTTAACCATTCTCCTCTGGGTGGGCATTGAGTAGCTGATAATCTTTTGTTATTACAAACTAAAGGCCTGGTGCATGAAATTCGTGCAATGGAGGGTGGGTTCCTCAGACCAGCCTGCACCCTCTCCAATCTGGGACCCCTCGGGGGATGTCTGACGGCCGGTTTAGATCCGATCCCTGTGGGATCTGGCCTAAACCAGCAGTCGGGCATCCCTCTCACAATCCCAGACTGCTGGCTCCCAACCGCTCGCCTGCCTGCCTGCCTGATTGCCCCTAACCGTTTCTACCTGCCAGCCTGATCACCCCCTAACCACTCCCCTGCCAGCCTGATTGATGCCTAACTGCTCCCCTGCTGGCCCAGTTGCCCCCAACTGCCCTCCCCTGCTGGCCTGATTGCCCACAACTGCCCTCCCCTGCCAGCCATCTTGTGGTGGCCATGTTGTAACCACATGAGGGTGGCCATCTTTAACTACATGGGGGCAACCATCTTGTGCGAGGGCATGACAGTCAATTTGCATATTACCTCTTTATTATATACGATGTGGCTGCCATGGGAGTTGAGAAATGGAGAGACTTATAGCACTTCCCTGGGCCCATTGTGTTGAGTAAATGATGAATCCTAGTGAAGCATGTAGAATCACACTGAGGACATGCTCAGGGTTCAGTAAATATTAGCTCTGCCCTAGCCAGTTTTGCTCAGTGGTTAGAGCATTGGCCTACACTGAAGGGTCCGGGGTTCGAGTCTGGTCAAGGGCACATACCTTGGTTGCAGGCTCAATCCCCGGCCCTGGTTGGAGTGTGTGCAGGAGGCAACCAATTTATGTGTCTCTCTCACATCCATATTTCTCTCTCTCTGTCTCTCCGTCTCCCTTCCACTGTCTAATAATCAATGGGAAAATATATATATCAGCTCTTATTGGCACGCCTTCCATTTCACACATGGGTGAGCGCTTGGCAGGATAAGTTCCTGGTGGTGGCATCACTAGGGCAGAGGTTATTGCTGAATTGCCCTCCATAAAGAGTGTATCCCAATGCCGAGTGTGACTGGACCTCTCGCTCCCCTCCCTGGCCAACTGCTGCGTTATCAAGCCTTTTTTGAGCTTCGCCAATCTGACAGGTGACAAACACTGTCTCAGTGCGGTTTTAATTTGCATTTCCCTAATTATGAGCGTCTTTTCACATGCTTCTGAGCCATCTGCATTTCCTTCTTCATAGCAGCAGTGAGTATTTGGGCCTGATGTCAAGGTGAAAGGCTTCCTTCTTTCTGCCAATCTCTTTAGGCTGTTTGTCTCTCTCCCATTCTTCTCCTGGTGCCCTGCTGTCTTCCCAGAGCTGGGTTAGAATTCCGGGGAGGGGTTGGACAAGACACCATTGCCCCGGATCTAGGAGCCACACCACAGCCAGTGGTGGTTGGAGCCCACCAGCAGGGCCGGCCAGGTTGAGCACATGGCTCAGGCCTGCTTTGCTGGTGAAAGGGCCTTGTTAATCCCAAATGCATTGAATGTCTGAGTGAAATGTTTCTTAATAAAGGCTTCCCTCATTTTCCTTCCCTAGACTAGTTCGTGCTCTGGATCTATGGCCTCATAGGTCCGATTTCCTTCGTGGCACTCATCCCAGTTGTCAGCTAGATAGCTAAGTAGGCTACTGGTTGTGTAAGGTGTGTCTCCTCTTTGTCAAATTGTAAGCAACCTGAGAGTGGCGACCATGCCTATCTTGTGTAAACGCAGAGTCACAATACTGACTTAGTAAATATTGGATGAATGGATGTATGGATGGATGGATGGATGGGGTAGATGAAATGGGATAGAAATGGATGGTGGCCAGGTGCAGGGGTGTGTGAGTGAGTGTGCAAAGATGGGTGGATAGAGTTAAAATTGTGTGGGTAGCTGGGTGGTTGGGGAAATGGATAGACAGATGGGTGAGGGAATAGGTGAGTGGATAGATGGGAGAATAGGTAGGTAGATGGGGAACTAGATGGGTGGCAGGTTGGAGAGTTATCTGGATGGATGGATCACAGGACAGATGGATGAAGAGCCCACTAGGCTAAAGGAAGATCCTGTCTCCCCCTCCAGCCTGGCATCTCAAGACAGAGAATAGACAATTGAATGTAATCATAACTATTACTGAGTAATCACCAGCACTTACAAAACACTTATTATTGGCCAGGCACTGTTCTAAGTGCCTTCTTTTTTATTTGTTATTTTTTTCCTTTTAAAGAACATTTTGTTAAGACTTTTATATTATTATCCCTAAACTCTTTATTTTGAACATTTTAAACCTACAGAAAAGTTGAAGGATAGTGCAGTGAACACCCTTTTATCCTTCACCTAGATTTACTAACCATTAACATTTTACTGTGTTTGCTTTTCTTGATATAAATTTATCCCCCTGAACCTGTTGAGAATAAGTTGCTGACATCTTGATTCTTCATCCCTAAATATTCCAGCATACATCTCCCAAGAACAAGGACATTCTGTCCCATAACCACAATTCCACTAGCACACATCCCCAAAATTTTAAATTGATACAAAATCCCAATATTCAAATTTCTCCATTTGTCTTCAAAACATCCTTCATAGTTAGGGTTCCCTTTCCCTTCCCCCACCCAGGATCCAATCAGGAATCATCTACTGCATTTGATTGTCACGTCTATAAGTGCTTTCAATCTTCCTAAAGGGAGAGCACTATTATCCCCATCTTACAGACGAGGAAACTGAGGCACAGGGAGGTTAAATCACTGGTCCAAGTTAAAGCCAGAAAGTGGCGGAACTTGTTAATGTTTCCAGTATCCCTGTGTTTCTCTTAACCCCTGTGGTCTGTTCTCCACCCAGCTGCCAAAAGGATCTTTTATTAAAAAAAAAAA